TAAACCCAACACTGCCAACTCCACCACTAAATCACATCCTTAAGTGCCACGGCTACACGTCTTTTACATAACTCCAGGGATGGTGGTTCCATCACCTCCATTGTACACAGTGCCACTGACAGCAGGGGGTTAAACTTAAACTTTGGATTTCATAAACTAATACCTTTGCCAATGAAATCTACTTCTAATGAAAAGTATGCTTTCAATTAAAGAATACACTCATTACTGATATTCCGCAGCTAATTCACGCAATGAGTTTAATGCAATCAGTTATAAACAATAAGCTTTTAAACAATGTTGAAAACAGGATTTGTCATTACAGTATAATGACAGAGAAACGGTCCTAGACATGTCTATTGTATGAACCACACTTCCTGGTTGTTATAAACTAGGGTTTTCATAAGGTCTGTTGTTGGTTTTTATCTCCCAGTTGTATTATCTCCCGGTAACGCGTGCTGTCAAGCTCACTACTTAATGATTTTATTTACACCGTTGCTAAATTGATACATAATCTTCCTGTTAAATATATGCCAAAAGTGGGCACAAAGGGAAGTGTGGAGCCACATCTAATTTTCCCAGGTGATTTTATACCTATATCTGTATTTAAATCACACTTACTTCTGGTTACATCACTGGCTAAATTTATACCGTGGACTCTGCCCAACAGGCTGCTCTAAAATATACAAACTTCAGATGTTGATTGATCTGAGTTTACTAATCAGACTGGGTACGTCACAGGCAAAGCATCGTGTAAGTCTGAATGCTTCAATCAACTCCTTTTCCCAAGTAAGCACAAACTTCCCAGTTTTTGAACAATTTTCCCCTGATCCCTGAAGACATGCTCTAGTTGGGACCTCCACAAAGTCACCTGCATGATGACCTTCAAACATCTTTATTCAAATCTTCCAAAAAAAAATGCAATTCTCATGAGATAACTAGCATTTTATCTGATGCAAAAGTGTTGATAAAGTGAGAGTCTCCAGAGTAGAAAGCAGGAGCTGGTATAGCACCAGGTGAGGTGCTACTACAAGTTGAGCACCCTTGGTGGCCAGAGGTAGGCATATAAAAGGCATCTTTGATCCAAAACTCACACAGAAGTGTGATTCAGCTGGTACATGACCCTTGTCACAGCTCTTGCAAACCTCAGATTTAAATACATCGATGACTCATAACTCCACCCAAAAAATTATATGAATCCTGGGTTGACATTATCTACACACCAAAACTCAGCACCAGAAGCCACCTTAGCCTCCAGCTTCCCCATTTCCAGAACTGAGCACACATACAGTCTGGTGAACAAAGAAAATTCCATCAAGCTTTTAAGAGCCTGGTTCCATATATCTCACTGCCACAAAGTACAAAACATCTTAGGGCCATCCAGAGAACTTGCGTGAGCAGCAGCGTTAGCTCTCTCACCCTGGTTTAGCCCGCACGATAACCTTTAAGGGATTACCTCCTAGATTAAGAAGAAAATTGAATGCCCAGGAGTATTTATGTTTTTTAGCTGCTTCTGTGCAGAAATGATCTGCAGCACAACATTCAGACGATTACCTGAGTCATTTTTTCACGGTTGGCCTTGGGATTCAAGGGGGCCTCGGTCAGCAGGACGGGATGTTCCTCCGGCGCAACCCGGAGTTCATTGTAGAAAGAGTGATGCCAAATCTAAAAATGAAAATCACTTTAAAAAGGTGTTCTCAGAATCATTTCTTCTGTCCACAGAACTACACAGAAAGCTTTTCAAATACAGTATAAGTGATATTTTATTTGGGTTTTTTTTACAGACATATTAAAATAGACAGAAAGCACGCAAGAGCAAATCTGCCAAATTCAACTCCAAATTAGAAACAAACCCATTAGGTTTCTACTCTATGTAACAACAGAATATAACCTACACAATGGAGTCCTTCCAGTTAGGATTCCCTAGAGCACAGATCATCCTTTCTAAGCAGGGACACTAGTGAGTTCCCACCTCCAGTGCTCTCATACAGAAGTTGAGCCAGGCTCTGAGGAGTTAGACCTGGAAATACTTCTCCATGATGCTCGGAGACTGATCTACTTGCAAGTCATTGCCAAGATGCTCTTTAGAAATCTAATTATTTAGATTCCTAAAGAATTTTCTTCCAATGAAGCAAAAGGCCCTTTAAGTCACAGATTTTTCACCCAGTAAATCCAGAATCAAACTCTTTACTTACACAGAGTAACTAAATTTCCTAGTTCCAGTCTTTTTTAGCCCAGTTTGGGTTAGGGACTCGCTGTCACAAGCAATTCCTTCAGCCATTTCAGTGACAGAGAGAAGTTCAGCCTACAAGAACCCATACAGTATCTGACCCTTATTTGATTTACAGCACTGCCTGGAGCCTCCACCACATTACACCCTGAAATCAATCAATTAATCAGTCGTGAGTTCACGCTACAGTAAAGCACGTGCCACCTTTTCTATCTTCTCCAATTCCTTTTCCTAACTAGATTTTAGAAAATCTGCTCTAGCACCCAGCATCACCCAGAGGAAGAACACATACCAGTATGTTATACACAGGACAATTCCCAGATGTAGAAACCAATTGCTGAGGGAAGAACATAAAATAATGACTTCCAATTTTTATTTTTTTTCCTACAGAGAAACAGATTTTCTTGCTGAATGTAGAGAGCAGGAAAATTAACAGGAAGAAAAACATCACGGGATACATGAGGTTGACTTTTTGCTCTGCAGAAACAAGCAAGGTGTCCTCCCAGGACACAGTGAAATAATGAAATGCAAATACTATGCTTCCATCTAGAGGAGTAGGTGGGCAATTTATTTCCAAATATGAACTGAGGAACTCGTGTTGCTCCTGGATCACCTTTGGTCTGTTCATTTGGAACACTGCACTTATCAATTTGGGTTCATGAATATGACACAATAACTGACTTTAGATACACATGCAGTATTAGAACTGCATACACCTCATCTCAGCAAGTGTGAGTACACAAGGACACCAGCCCCGTGTCTTCCTTTCAGTGGTATTTTCCAGGGGAAAACATCACTAGAAGGATTTGCTGGTGGAGTTTCCTTCCCATACTATTCCACCTGGAGACAACAAGGGACCGAGTTGCAAGCCTGACTCTAATGAGGAGGTACGATATCTCCACATACAGACTCAGATACTTCCCAAAGAGACCAGAACATCAAGGATATCAGAGCAAGAGGGCCCTTAGGACTCCTCCTGCCCCTCCAGCCTCTGCCACGAGCAGACCTCATCACCTGCACCTGGTCTGGGACATACTTAAGTGGGTATTTCACAGAGAGGTCATTGCACTGGCCACATGCCAAGAAAGTCATGTTTGATAGGGAATCAAGATGCCTTCTTGCCATCCAAACATTAAAAGCTAACTGGAATTGGCAACAGAAAAACATGCTTCAGGGGAAAAAAATCCCTGCTCTCAAAGGGTTAGTGTAAGATAGAAATCCCCAATCTGTCTTTTCCTCTTTAACTGACAGGGAGAATGTCATATGCAATAGGAGATGTGGGCATCAGCCATCATCATCTTCATGTAGGCAAATACTGAGGAGGGAAAATCACCTCTCTGTCTCACAGGTTAGGTTCCCAACTTCAGTAACGTATCTTTAATATTTCTCTGATTCACCTCTGATGAATCACAACCTGTACTTTTTTTTCTTTTAGTTCAGCTACTTTCTGTCATTGTCAAACATTCTGCCTCAGTGTGAACTTCAAGATTGAAAACAATATGGATAAAGCATAAAGTACTTTTATAACAGACTGCCAAATCTGATGAGTTATAGACATTTACTTTTTTAAATAATAGTAACTCTAGAAGTGCCAAGAGCTGATCAGCTCCTGTCCTGGCATACTGGACTATCCCTCTACCTATACTGAGGTTACAAATTCTTCACAGATTTTCCCTTTGGTCTGCAAGAAGGTTAATAACAAATTGTACATCTTGGATAAGATGATGGATGATGTCTCAACAATGTTACATTAAAAAACAAACACCCACCTTTTCCATGTCATCCCAGTTAGTGATGATTCCATGCTCGATGGGATACTTCAGCGTCAGGATTCCTCTTTTACTTTGTGCTTCATCCCCTACATAGCTGTCTTTTTGACCCATTCCAACCATAACACCCTGAAAAGTGTATTATTCTCATATTAGTGCAGTATATCTTGCACATTAGAGATTGAATAGCATTTTAAAGCTAAAACTTCACGTGACATATTGTACCTGCTGTGGCTGTTCCAGAACGTACCCCAAAAAACATGCAAGGAACTAAAGTGTGAATTTATCGGTACCCACCTACCCTGTCCTAACATCCCCTATCAACACACCAGGAAGACCAAAGCAGCTTCAAAAAGGAAGGAAGGTATCTCACACTTGGTGCACCAGCAAACTCATGGCTCTCCACAAGGGACGGGTCCTTTGTCGTTGCACAAAGGGATAAAGGGAAGGAATTATAGGTGAAAAATATATAATCCCTGGATTTACTTTATATGTTCAGTTGTACTTTGTGTCTAGGCAGTTCCACTACTGCCTTTAAACAGTGACATTATTTCCCCTCGCTGGAAGTGAAATGGTTTTGAAAAACATACATTTTGGGAAAAAAAAAAAAGCACATGAATTTATTTAAAACAAAGACATATTTTCTAAAAGACCCTTCACGTATTAACTAATAGTTTTACTAAGTTTAGATGATGTTTGCATTAGGAAGCCTATCATGATTGCCCCAAATAATTTAACAGCATATGAGGTAATATATTATTCATCAACTAGCATAAAAACATTTAATTTTTGTCATGGATACATTTTCATTCCATAGATTCAATAACAGAGCTGTTGAGATGCTTAACTCTGCAAAATTACACGCCAGCTCTAATCACCAATAAAAGCCAAGGAACAATTTGAGAGGTTAAAGAATGGACAAGTTTTCAACCACTGACGTTCAACTCCAACAATTTATGGATTTATCTTCAAAATGCATTCTTTAAAATGTTTCAGATTTGATGCCTGTCAAACCAAGCTTATTTATCTCAGCAAAAGAACACACAAAACTTCAGGGAAGGGTTTTTACAGCCCAGAAAAATAAAATCTGACTCAGATATTAATAAAATGAACAAAAATGTGCATCTTCTATTTAGAAAGGAACTGTTAGGAAACTAATTAAGCAGAAAGACCCTTTCCAAGGTCAAGAAAAGCCACATTTATCCTTTCCAGTTGATGAAATGATGTGCTAGAAGTTTATTGGGCCATATTGTTGCTTAATGGAACACGAAAAGGAACTTATCACTATTATTCATTTGGTTTCTCATGTTACCAATGTCCTGCCCATCTTTTTTCTTTGTTTTGATACAGCAAGTATTAATTAATCCAACAAGTTGTTTTGTTTTGTTTTTTTTCATAAGACACCTTCATGCCATAGCAAGTATTAATTAATCCAACAAGTTGTTTTGTGGTTTTTTTTTTTCATAAGACACCTTCATGCCATTGAAACACTCGTGTTCTATAGTCAACATTTTGTGGCTGAAGAACACCTTTTCCAAAGGATCAAGAGCTTTACCCTGAAGACACACAGCTCAATCCTCCAGTTAACAAGCCAAACTCCTACAAGGCCAACGGGAGTTTTGCTTGAATAAATCTGATGCTTTATCACTCCCATGTCTAAAGTCTCAAAAAAACCCCCAACCCAACCACCCAAACGAGACAGCACTTCTACTTTGGTACCAACTGACCTGATGGCGAGGACGCCCAACGATGGATGGAAATACAGCTCTTGGGGCATCATCTCCTGCAAACCCAGCTTTGCAAAGCCCAGAACCATTGTCACACACAAGGGCAGTGGTTTCATCGTCATCGCACATCGTGCCTCACAATTTTGGCTGCAAAACAGTAATTTTGGGGCGGGGGTGAGGAGCGGATGGAATGGAATAGGACAGGAGTAACTCTCCATCATTTAGACAGCAAACTGCTTTAAAAAGAATTCTGGCAAAGGATAAACCTAAACAGCAAAGTCTCTGCTAAAGCCCCAACCTTGCAAAGCATCTTAAGTATCCACATAAATTTCAGCTTGAATAGGTTTTACCAAAACAAATCAATCAGAACATTCAGCCTTTGTTTCCAAAGGGGACACCTCCCTCTGCTGTAGCCTCAGGGAGTTCTTCGATATTCTGTTACGTGGCCTCATGACCATGGAACAAATTCAGCTAGAGGATACACATTAAGTTTGACTTGGACTTAGGCAAGTATAATCCCATCTCTTCCGAGGCTGAATTATCTTCTATTGATTTAATTTGTTAAAAAAGAATTGAGCAAATGCACCTACCAGTTCGAATGTCGGTTCTGAGATGGTAAATAAAGAATCACCAAACATTCGTTACTTCAAAGACCGCCGTTGTTCCCCAGGGATGTGTTTAAATTTGCCTTTTTCTTAGAGGGTCATTGTCAATCTTAACCAACCAACCTAAAATAACCCCACCAAAAGATTCAGGAAAGTATTTGCGCTGTGTTTTTAAATGACAGCTACTCTGTAAGGTGAAGTGCTCACGACAGGACCTGTTCCATATTTGTAAGTGGTAAATACCTTATCGAAGTGGATATTCTGGGAAACAGAACAAGAGGCAGCTGCCCAGGAACAACTCAACTTCAGCGGTTGGCCAACACATCAGAGGAAGTCCTGAACTCATTGAAATTCATGGCAGAACTCCCACCGAGGGAGGGTCTGAATTTCACCAAGATTTCTGTTTCGGATTCCTTGGTTATTTTTAGGAGTGTACAATTGCCTCTTTAGGCAGCCAAGGAGAGGGAAGGATTTTCTTTTTCCTTCTCTGGTAACTTCACTGGGTAAGGAAGGGCACTTCAGAAATGGGAAAGGCATGAAAAACAGCCCTTGTCCAGCAAAGGCCTCTCCCTAACAATACAAAAATGTATTGAGCATCATTTTTGCAATTAATGGAAAAATGTTCTCGACCTCTGATGGCATCAGAGTCCCTCCCCAGCGCTGTGAGCAGGCACCAGCATTTGGATCTGCCCTGCAACCACTTCATGCTGCCTTATTTGTGGAGTTTAAAATCTCTCACACTCTTCAGAGGATCCCTGCAAGATTACCAAAGTCCTGGAGATTTACAAACAGGAACAGTTTTGGTTTGTAAAGTTTGAGCTGCATGAAGTTCCTGGTGTTCAGTCCTTTCCTGTACCCTTCACAAAGCAAGGCTGTGACACGACTGATCCCAGCACTCACAGGTGAAATGGAAGCGTAATTCACAAATATGACATTATTTAAAATAAGAAAAATCATTTTAATTCTTGTTGATGTGCCTATGACCAGAAGATTCTTTTTCACTTAAGGAAACAGAACAATTTTATCACATCAATTTGTAAATGGTTTTAATACAGGAACGTTTAACCACTGGTTGTAGTAGCTGGTATTTTGGAATATTCATTCATGTTGCCATAAATCGTTATTTTCTTCCAAAAATCCTCAGGCAAAGACTTTTAGCATGGAATAAATGATTTACCAGCAGCATCCAACATTAGAGAACTGCACCCAGACTCTGACTCCATCAATGTAAATCTGAACGGGAAGAAACTCAGCTCTTGAATACGTCAGAAATTACAGCAGATGAGATACAAGAATTGAGGATTAAATAGTTTTAGAGCAGAGAAATGCTACAAAGCTCTGAGCACTCAGCACCACTCATTGGCTCTAAAAAAGGCTGGATAGGACCAAGATGTTTAAGCCTCCATGGTGAGACATAACATTCCCATTCATTCATGCACCCAGCATTTCATTTCACATACCACTTTCCATATAAAACTGAAACCACACTCTGAAAAACAGAATTCAGAGGGAAACCCCGGCTGATCTGAGCCAGTTACACCTGGGAGTGCTGGCAGCGACTGTCCACGCTTCCACTCGCTATTGAGCGGATTCCAGAGCAGCCACTGACACTTCCTAATAAAAATCAATGGCTGAATTTCTTCATTCTCTTAGAAAAAACAAAACAAACAAAAAAATCACCTTGCTTTGCTTATCATTACTTAATTAGAACATGAATGAGCTAATAAAGAGCATTACTTAAAATCTCCATTGATTGAGTCATGTTATTGCTTTACAGCTGCTGAATTTATAGGGTTAATAATCCTTTTCACAAAGCAGTTATTTGGAAATCTTGTTACCAGATGAAGTTCCTACCTGAATTTCCTAAGGACACCAGATGAAGTTCCTAACTAAATTTGCTTTAATTTTTTTTATTTTCAACTTTTATTCTTCTAATTCCCAGCACAAAATGAAATACAATTAACAGAGAATTTCCTTTTTGGTTTCTGCATAAGGCCTGATGTCTGGATACAAACACTATTGTTTTTCCAGGTTTCAGACAGATTAAGAAGGTTTCATTTCACTCCACTAATCATCCAGGAATGAGGAAAGTCTGTACATTCCCCTGCAACCACGTAGTCAAACCTGAATTACCTTACACCAGGAGACCCTCTGGAATTCCTTCAGAACTCGAGACAAACAGCATCCAAATCCAGCAAGCGTGTAAATCCCCGAAGGATCTCAGACCAAGTGAAGCAAAGCTTTAAAATCATGAACTGTAACACGAAAAACTCTTCAGGGCGATACTTACCCAGGAACTGGTGATGATTTGTAAAAGCCTCTTAGCAAATGACAGGATCTCACCTTCCATTACATTTATATCAGCTTCTGGCACGGAGTTCACAGAATATCTACACAAGCCATTTTTGGAAAGGTTTATTTCTTCCAACTCTTCAGGGCGATACTTACCCAGGAACTGGTGATGATTTGTAAAAGCCTCTTAGCAAATGACAGGATCTCACCTTCCATTACATTTATATCAGCTTCTGGCACGGAGTTCACAGAATATCTACACATGTCAAGCCATTTTTGGAAAGGTTTCTTTCTTCCTTTTTTTTTTTTTCCCTAGTTTGTGCTTATCACAGTGACAGCACAAAGGGCTGGATAAATTAGGGCAGAATTTCCAACATCCCTGGATCCTTTCCCACTCACTAACTTGCTCTGCCTCATGACAGAGGGTTGTTTTCTCCCCTGAAGACAAAAATCCCTCACACCAAATGAGTAAGACTGGAAGGATCTGATGGTCCACTGCTGTCACTGGAAAGCATTCTGCTTCATTAGAACAGAATTAGCTAAAAATAGCTCGTTATCATTCTGTTAACAGCCATCTTCAAGCTGGAAAGGGAAAAGTCTTACCATGTACACTACTCATCTTTCAACTGTACCTGGTGTTTGTGTGGCACACAGACTGAAAATAGCCGCCTTATCTTAATAGTCGGGTGACACTACGGCTGAAAACAGGGACTGAATCAGCAAACAGCCACTCAAAAGAGATGAGACATTATCATCTTATTAAAAAAAGACATTAATTATATAGGAATATTTGATTTATATAGAAATCCAGACTAGGAAATATTAAAGAAACACCAAAAGAAGAAAGTTCACAGGATTGACCTACAGTGGTAACTACAGCTGGCAACGTTTCCTATTCCACACGACAAACCCAAGGGATGCAGAATATCAGACACAATTTAGTAAAAGTTAATCCTGCAAATGTAAATACCAACCAATCCCTCTTTTTTACCTGTCACATGACCACGTAGCAGAACTCACATGCAAGAATCTTTTCCTATTCCACACGACAAACCCAAGGGATGTAGAATATCAGACACAATTTAGTAAAAGTTAACCCTGTAAACATAAATGCCAACCAATCCCTCTTTTTTACCCTCTTTTTTACCTGTCACACAACCACACAGCAGAACTCACATGCAAGAATCCTGGACCTTAAGCAGATGATTCACTTCACTAACATCTATTCAAAGTCAACCTTTTATCTGCCCATCAGTAAAACTGATGAAATCCTCCCATTTCCATAGTCATCAGATTTTTAGGATTTTAGTCTAGCAAACAGGAAATCAAATGGCTACTCCTTTTTGTGACTTTATGTCCTTTAGACTCAGTTTGTTGTGATTGTATCTCCATTTTATACAGATGTGAGTGGCAACGCAGAGAGAAAAACACCAACAAACAATACAGGTGTAAAAACAACCTTCCAGCTTCCAGTGGCCGCAGTCTTTACAAATAAACTGTTTTTTGAATCAGAAAAATAGCTGTGCACTTTCAGAGAACATTGTAACAAAACATGGATGATTAATATGCAGCACATAACACGTGTCTACAGAAACTGAATGCAAATCCTCTGCTTCTCACAGCCTCTTAGTTGAAAATGTGCCCTTTATTCATTTAGATTTTGAAGCCCAAATATGTAAAATACGTGTTGAGCAGCTGAGTAACATTTTGCCCCAAAGATATGCAGTGACTAGACCCACCGAGACAAGAAGTGCAAGTGAGTTAAAAAATAAATAAATAAAAATTAAACAAATAATTTTAAAAAATCAAAACCCAAATCACCAACCACCCAAATGAAAAAAACCATGAGAAAAGCTACAGAAATCACACTCATAAACAACAGTAAAGGAATATAAGACATTTCTTCATGTCATTTCAACTCTGAATCTTTAATCATCGGCTTACCTCATCACCACATACATATCTGTGCACCTTGTCAGAGACATTACAAACTGTATGGTCAAAGAACAACTTTCTTAAATCTTTTATTTTCAGAGAAAAAAAAAAAATTATCCAGTAGTTCTTCCTTTATTGCACTCTATAAAACTTCTTGTGATAATCAAGAAGTCAATAAACAGTAATAGCTGAATATTCTTTTCAATTTTATAGTTTAACTCTTAAAATAAAATTTATATAGAAAAGATATCATTTACAACCCATTCAGTAGGAATCAATCATTATGTACTCACAAAC